AAACTAAGGGGATATGTGCTTACTCCTCCCACATGTTATAACTGTATTATACTTGGGTAAAAACATAAAATAAATTGCCCTTTGATACTTCTCTAACATGTTCCCTATGAAACATACACTAAAAAAAAAAAAAGAAACATACACTAGTGATTGGTTGGCATAAATTCCTTATGCAAATAAAGATAAGTAATTAAACATATAACATGTCTCAAAATCATACTATTTGGACACTAAAAAGTATATTAACGATTTCTCAAATACAAATGACTTTTTTAAACATATAATTTAAATTCCTGGCATAAAACATGTATTATGAATATGTGTATATGAGGCTTATTATATGCTTATTACTTTGAATGCATCAATAAAATCTTTCTTGGACAATGGGGATGAAAGACAAGCATCTTGTAGTAACGTGCAGTAAAAAAAATAATTAGTTTAAAGCCTGTTTTTTTTTCTGAAGGATAACACAGCAACAGCTTCACCAGCTCCTCAGACTTCACATACAAAATTGCCTATGTCTACATCCCCATGCTTAAAGCAAAATAAAGAATAAACTTTTACTGCAATGCAAAACTTTAAAACCTTCCACTTTATATCAAAGTCATAGCTTTATATCATATACTATACTATAAAATACACGTTGATAATATGCCACTTGGAGTGCTCTGGGTTTTTTTGGTACTAGGGATTGAACTCAGGACTTGTGCTTGTGAGGCAGGCGCTGGAACCACTGAGCTAAATCCCCAGCCCTCTGGAGTGCTCTATTTTACTTTTTAAGGAGAAATATGAAAAAAAGGTGACTGTGAGAGCATACATGTAACCATTTATATCAAGTAATAAAATGGGCAAAATTAATTTACATGATCAGAAACCATGACAAGGATCATCTTTGGAGAAATAAGTGGGGCATAGGAGGGCTTCTGGTGTGCTGGTAATACTGTTTTTGAATGTAGGTACTGATCAAATAACGTGATGTGTGCACTTGATGGAAATCTACTAAATAGTACATGCCTATTTGTCCCTTTTCTATGTTTGCCTTCTACAAGAAGATTTTCAAAACGTTACACAAGAAAGAGTTAGACCTCCCCAGATCCTCTTCCCAGTTCCAGTAAGAGAGAGTTTAGCCTCTGGCTCAAAGACATCAGGCATAGCAAGAAAACACTGTTCTGAAAAGAAGAAAATTAAACAAAATTTTAAAATCTGCACATGAAGCCTTAAGATTCCAGCTCTCTTCCCCACTCAGTTGCCTTAATCCTGGCATGCAATGCTCAGGCCCAAGACAAAGGATTCCTCTCAGGTAAAAGCGTCGCACTCTACAAAACAGATCTGCAAACTATATTTCCTATGTCACAGGCAAAAAGAACAAGCATGCCGGGGAGAAGTAGCCAATACAAAGGTGTTAAAAAGAATGTTAAGAGTTGTGACAGAAAGCTTACAAATACTAGATGAATAGAAAAGTGTGTAAGTGAAAAAAAAGAGGCTACTACTGAGCCCCTGTGAGAAAATAAATGTAATCACTGCATTTCAGGTCCTTGGCTATGAATAACTGCTCTATGCTCATAATAAATAGAAACAGTGAATTCTAATTTGACACAAAACTGCTAACTGTATATTGCGAGGATAAGGAAAAGTGAAGTTTGTACATGTGGCATGGGGCACAGAGATTATAGCTAAATCTTTATATTTTATAGAGATAAGTCAACAGATAATGCCCAGTAATAAAAGTCAAAACAGGTAGCATAATATTTAGGGAAATGAAGGAAAGCAGCCAGAAGAGCCAAAGAACTTAAAGCAGCAACCTGGGAAGAAAGACTTGAATGGAAGGATGTATTGAAGCTGTTTATTAAGGTTTTTGGGGGTTTTTTTGGTACCAGGTATCAAACTTGGGACCTTGTGCTTGAGAGGCAGGTAGAGGCACCACTGGGCTAAATAAATCCCCAGCCCTGTTTTATTAAGATTTTAAAAAAACTGACATGATGCTACTTTAATAGGGAAAAGTTTAAACCTTTTAAAATATAAAATAAAACAAAACCCAAAAATGTACACAACTGTTGACAAGGAAAAACACAAATATTGAATTGCTATAGGGAAATAACAGCAAGATAATCATTCTCCAAAGAAATGCAATAGTTCAGGTGAGAGCTGAGTTCTGTTACCATTGCAGTGGGGAAAGGGTGTGCACAGCAGAGGGTAGGGAGTAAAGGAGAAAAGAAGATGTGTTCAAAAGATACAGGTAGAGAGTCAATAGATTATGGGGATCAATTAGGTCTTGAACAAAATAACAGGTAAGGCAGGATTTGAATCCTCCTGAAATCAAGTTCATGTCAAAAATATCTTTCTACAAAATATCCCTGGATATTTATTTATTCCACCCGTACTGGCTCTTTGGGAGCATCATATCTCTTCTATATGTAGTAATAAGTACTTAAATCTTTTTTAGGCTTTAATTTTTTATTATGGTGCTAACTTCAGCAGCACATATACTAATTTTTTATTATGAAATACTCAAGTAGAAAAATACATAAAACAATGATCATCTGAGTATCTATTTTCCTTTCATAAATGTTAACATTTTTGCCATATTTGTCTCTAATTTCTTTTTCTTTTAAAACAAATATACATAAGAGATCTTCTTCAAATCATGGTCTAAGTGCACCGCCTAACTCAGCCTCTAGAAGATAACCACTAACCTGAATTTGGCATTTAACATGCCTGTAAACCTCATCCCTAAAAAGGGAGCATTAATGAATTCTAATTCCCCTTTCTACCCTAAGACAACAGGATCCTACAGTTTGATGGAAAGTTCTTCATCTGTAACAGAAATGCAGAAGTCTGCATTTCTATGAAATATACAAAAAGACTTCAAAATAACTTCAAACCACAAAACAGACTGATTAATGATGTACCATACCTATCCTTTAACAACAACAACAAAAAAACCCCACAAAAAACAACTAAAACTAAAACAAAAAAAACCTAACTTTGTTATAGAAGTGCCAGTACAAATATTCACATCAATATTTAGGGCATATAAAAACCTAAATCTAAGAATTCTGGTTTAGTGTAGTTTCATAGTACCCATCAGTGGCAGGGAACATTAAGGAACTGCTTGAGCATCATACCCTTACTGGACTCTCTCCTGCCTATGTAATTAGTTCATTGCAGCACCAAATTGTCCTGGTTGTTGCTGTATTTTTCTCTGCCAGCCAATCAATATAAAAATATCCTTTTAAAAATGTGCAATGCCAGTTTTGCTTAAGACTGTCTTTGATAATTCAGGAAAGTTATTTTTATTACATCTCAACCCTTGAGTGCATATCTTTTTAATTTTCTGGGTAAGAAAATTGGAAATTCCTGTAAAACACTTCTGATGCATACTAACATACAATAGTTATCTCAAGGCAAATACTTGTACAATGATTTGAGTTATGAGCCACACTAGTCATTATCTTTATGGAATGCTATTTTTACTTGAAAGAACAATTGACAAACTACCATTACTCACACTTGAATATCTGGTAGCTATTTTCTCAGAAATGAATGGAGATGGTTGCTTCAGGAAAAACAACTCACAGTATTTATTCTTAAGGATATCCCACAAGCTTTCAAATGAAAATTAAAATTTTGGAAAACTTGTTTCTACTATAAACCTAACAACTTTCTATCAAGTTTTCAGGTAAGATAAATGGTGTTCTTAACACATGTAACTTCAATTTGCATAATGAAATGCGTTAACTTTTAAACTCTTGTATTACACAATGATCCAGTATTTTCCCAAGAGTCAATACTTAATGCAATAAAATGGTACGTGTATAATGATTCATTCAAAGTGCAAGAAAGCCCAGTAGATCCTAAAGAATTCAAATAATTTGCTGATAGATGCCCTAACATTTAAGAAATGATCACTTGTTAAATTTTGGTTTAGTTAAAAAAAAAAAATTTGGTTTAATATCAAAGAAGAATATAATCATTTGAAAAGACAATTAAGATACTTTATTTTCCAATTATATACACAAATGTTATAATAAGCTATTTTGGAAGTATTCTTTCCAGAAATTAAAAACCATATACACGGGCCAGGGATTTAGCTCAGTGGTTTCAACGCCTGCTACGTAAGCGCAAGGACATGAGTTCGATCCCTGGTACCAAAAAAAAATCATATACACATATCACAATGGTTATTTACTATTGGTTACTATTTAATCATTTAAAAACAAAAAAGTTATCATTTGCTTAAAATAGTTACACTTATATAGTTATGGTCTCATATAATTTCAACAAATATATAAGTACAGGGGCTTAATTTACCATTACTCCAAAAAGAAAATGAATATTGTAAATCTTAAATCTCTTCTGGAAATAGGGAAGTTAAGGCCCATCTCCCTAGTTATAAAGAAGTTTATTTATTTAACAACATGTGTAACTCTTGAAATTTATATACCAATTCCCAGATCATACAGTGTTAATGGATTTAAGCCTTGTTCTTAAATTTCTAAGGTAGTGCCTTTTTATGGAAAAAAACTGACCTGTAAATTTCCAGAGAAATAATTTAATATAAACAAACTCCTGAAATTTGGAAGAAATACTCTAAATGGTATTAGCTTTTTTCCATTACTAGTTTAAGGAATAGAAGTATTTTAAACAGAATTGTTCTTACATAAATCTTTCCAGTTAAGGGCTGGGGATTTAGCTCAGTGGTTCCACTGCCACCTGTCTTGCAAGCACAAGGTCCCAAGTTCAATCCCTGGTACCAAAAAAAATCTTTCCAGTTAAGAAATATCAAAAATCATTAATTTCAAGGAAGGAAATCTGAGAAAAAGTGTAAAATGGGAATTGATAAATAATGAACTCACTTATAAATAAAGTCCTATTAACATGCCCTCTGAGACAGTAAGTTTATACGCTATAGCTCTTTTGGTCAGCATATTTAACAGATAACAATCAGAAGCTGGTCTTTCTACCCCTTTCAAATGATCCACACATTTCTGCAGACTTACCTTTGCAGTTCATTGAGCCCCCTGGCAGCCGGGAGGCTGGGGTTTTGCCTTAGGAAGTTTTGTTTTAAATTGAGATGGGTGAGGTCTTGGCTATAGAAGAGGTTGGCAGGCAGATGTTCCAGGCTACAACAGGAGAGGTCCACTGAGCTAATGCGTTGGGAAGCAACCTAGAGGGGAATAAAATTACAGCTTGATTTTAATACCATCCACTTATCACTATTTTCTTTGCAGAGATAAAAGATAATTCCATTTGAGAACACAGACATACTATGCCAGTACGACTATTAGTCCAAATATAAACTATGAGATTATTCACTTAGCACAGAACTGAGCAGAGTGCTATAAATGCAGAAAAAGAGTGTCCCTGCTGGAAGGTGCTTAGAATGACCTAGTCTAGGTGGTGGGTTCCCAGGAGCACAAATTATCCCAACAGATTTAGTGATATCACTAATTTCCTCCAATGCAGGGGGTTTACTGTTGAAAATTTCCACAGTTAAGAGAATTCAAAGCAAACTAATACAAGAGTTTAGAGTAAATAGTTGGGAGACAGATGCTAAGATCTAAACTGAACCTATGAAAACCCTAGTATATACTGATTTAAAACAGCACAAATAAAGCAGTATCAATAGCCTTGTGTATATTTTAATAATAAATCACATTATATCACATAATTAAGATTCTATTAGATGCCTGGTATAAACTTCTCAGGTTGTCACTCCACAAAGTTTCAATGGCATGCTTATAAATTCATTGTGGCTTACTTCATTACAGCTAAGTGTTTATCCAGATATTTAATGCCTTCCTGGTTAAATGATTCCTACCACAGCCAGGATCCTAAGGCTACAGTATAACTTGCATGTTGGACACAGAAAATGTACCAGGGAATCTGTATTTCCTAAATTTCTTCTCCTATATTCTAGGTAATACAGGGCTGGTTTATAATAAAGCATAAGGCTCTAGCCCACTTCCACACATCATGGCTCTTTCTCTCCTCCCAGAGACCAAAACAACAGTTCTAAGTCTTACAAAGACTCTCTCTTTCTTTATTTTTGCAAATGTTTCTGACGCTAAAAAGGATTCAGAAGTAAATTTGCATAAAATATATTCTGCTGATATTTGAGGTTAACAAGAAATTACCGTGCACACATGAAAGCCAAAGGATATTGATGTGAGCAGGGTGTGGTGGAGTACACCTGTAATCCCAGTTCTCAGGAGAGGCTGAGGCAGGATTGCTGTGAGTTCAAGGCCAACCTAGGCTACAAACTGAATTCAAGGCCAGCCTGGATTACATAGCAAGACCCTGTCTCAAACAAAACAAAACACAAAGGATATGGGTGGTGTGAAAGGCATGGGTAAGGCTCATTCATCTTAACTGATCTTAGAGAAGTCTGAGTCTGCATTTTGGCAATTTCAACTTTCCTTGCATTTTCATCCTTATATAAGAAAAAATTCCAAACAGGGCCAAATCACTCATATAAATTAGAAGATGTGAAAAAAGCCAGAATTTTAATGGGCCTAAAAGGTAGTTGCAAAATACCCCTAGCCACAGAAAATTACTGCACATGGGAAGGAATCTGAAAAGGAAATGAGGGTGAAAAATTCACTAATCAGTGAAATCATTCATGAAAAAACATGCTGACCATCTAATTGTGAGCCAGACCTTGTATGTCCTGAGGCACAGTAGAAAATAAGACAAACACACTCCCTACCCTGAATGAACACACAGCAACACGGGGAGGACAAGTAAGAAACTACATGATAACTATTATAATAACAGAACATACACAGGCACCAAACATGATCTGAGGATCAAGGACAGCTTCCCAGAGGATGTAACGTTCAAGTCCAACCTTGAAGGTCAAGTAGAAATCTGTATTTTTTGAATGCCACACATCTTTCTCCACTTTTCTCTGTCACAGTTCACATGTGAAGAAGGAAAGAGAGAGAGAGAGAGAGAGAGGGAGAGAACGAATGAGAGAACCAATCCACACACATTATCCTGGGTGGAGCTGCAAAGTATGACCCTCCAGGGAAGACATGAGCTCTAGCCTTGAGCAATTCTAGTGCTCTATCTGCTAAAGTCAGGCTGATCCAAGAGGTGCTGGTACAGAACTCAACCTGATTAATCAGAGGCCTCAGGGATTTGTATTGTATATTCTAAAGCCAGGACACAGACATAACCTGCCAGTAAAATGAACAAACTAGATCTGTATGTAATAATCTGAACTGATTAAAAAACAAGCAAACTTAAGCCTGCCACATACAATATAATACAATTTCTAAGAAACATTTTAACACAAACACACAGCTCCATATAGTATGTATGAACAGTAATGTGGAATAAAGCTATAAAACCAAAGACTGATCATACACGAAATGAGTGACTGCTCTAGATAGGCAGAAAAGAAAATTGAAATAGGAAATGGAAGAGAAAAGATTTTGAGTTGATTGCTAATGTTTACTTTAAGAAGGACAATGAAAGATAGGAAGCAACTATATCAATATATTAACAACTGAGGAAGCTAGTACATGAAAATCATTATTATCCTGTGTACTCTTTTGTGTGTATCTGAACATGTGAGTATATTTAGTTTGAAAAACAAAATATGTGATCTAAGTAAAAATTTCAATAAAAATGGGAGAAAAGTGAGAGCAATTTTCTGGCTTTACTTCCAGTATCTTATTGGGTGGTACCCTGAGGATAATTCTTCCTCTTGTAACCAAAACATTCCCTTATCCCTTTGTAGTGAGCAAATGATGGCCTCCCCAAATTACACATCCACATTCTTACAGCTGAAATTTGTGATATTTATCTTACATGGCAAAAGAATGAATATAACCGCATATATCAAAAGATGTGATTAAGTTAAAGATCTTGGAAGATGTGCTTATCCTGTATCATCCATTTGGACCCTAAATACAAATCCTATGTGTCATTATATAAGAGAGGGGCAGAGGAATTCTAAGGCAGGACAGGAAAAGTTGATGTGACCACAGAAGCAGTGACTACAGTAATGTGCCTAGAAGTCTAAGAACATTTGGAGCCACCAGAAGCTACAAAAAAAGAGTAGATTTTCCCCTAGAACATCTGGAGGAAGCAAGGCCCTTCTGATACCCTCATTTTGGACCTCTGGCCCCCAGAATGGTGAGACAATAATTTCTGTTCGTTTAAGCCACAAGGATTATGTTAATTTGTTACATCATGGTAAAAGGGCATGGCAGAACAAAGCTGCTTACTTCATGGCAACCAGGAAGCAGAGCTGAGGAATGGTGCTGGAGAGGAATGGGTGAGGTGCACACCTCAAGGCCACACCTCATGACCCACTCAGACACACCCAGGACTGTGCACCACCAATCCCCATAGCAGATCCCAAACCCATTTCCACTCTAATTACTACATCTCACCCCTTGAAAACTTCATATCTAAACATAAATGCTTGGGTGTGGTGGTGGTGCAGGCCCATAATCCCAGCACTTGGGAGGCTGAGGCAGGAGGATCACTCCAAGCTCAAGGCCAGCCTGGGTTACATAGTAAGTTCAAAGTCAGCCTGAATTATGCAGTGAGACACCGTCTCAAAACAATCATCAATCAATCTCCTTAAATCAGTTAATCATTAAACAAAGGCAAGTTCATAATTCCATGTTAACACAAGTATCCTGCAATATAGCCAGAAACACAACAATCCCTTCCCCCAAATCTCAACAGTTCCAGCATCTTTCTCAAGGTCAAATCAAAGTCTCTTCTGAGACTCAAGGTAAACTCTTAACTATAAACCTGTTTTTAAAAAATACAACAACATAACACCAAGGTGCAACAGCACAGGGTAAAGATTCAGGGTAAACAGCATAGAAAAGAATCAAACCAAAGCAAGATCAAAACCCAGCAGGGCAAACATTAAGTCCAGTAGCTCTGTATCTGATATCTAGTGGTAAAATATGAGTTTTACACCAAACCCATATGGCCTTGCCAGTTGCAGCCCACTCATGGCATCTCTCATGGGCTGGCTCTACTCTTGGTCTACAACTTTCTTCAGCAGACATTCAACACTCTTAGCATTTCTGACTTCCTGGAGTCTTCACAACATCTTTGGTTTCATTCCCACAGCTTCACGCACTACTTTCTCAGGGGCTCCTTGTCTGGCCTTCCAGAGCTTCCTTTGAAATCTGAGGTAGCCTCTATGAACCCACAACTCTTACATTCTGCATGCTTGTAAAACCAGCATCACATAGATGATGCCAAAATCTGCTGTCTTTGGGAGCAGTTCTCTTGGGTCATGGCTGCAGCAGACTCTGAGTACCTGGATAGCTGAGCACAGTAAAAGAATCCTGAGGAACCAATTCCCTAGGCAATCTTTCTCAAGCAAGGTCCTAGGGACTCTCTTCTCAGATGGAAAGATTTATACTGCTGCACCCTAGATAGAGCCTGTGACAGGTAGGAATTTTGCTGATTTCTGTGATGACTTCAAGGCATCATTCTTCGTAGCTCTGTACAAAATACTTGTTTTTTTTCTTTAAATGTTGCTAGTCTCTTCAGCAGCCACATTTCCTTGGTCCCTCAATTTGATACATGGTTCTTTCTGGAGCAAACTTTAAGTTTACCAAAATATTCTGCTTTGCTTTTTGCTTCTATTTCTCATTATAAATCTGGCTAACAGCAGCCATTAGTATCTATGCCATGACTTCATTGCTGGGCTGCCTTTAAATTTCATCAGCCAGATCAGTTAGTCCATCACCCTTAATCTCAGTCTCTGGCAAAGTCTTAGGACATGGGGAAAATGTACACAAATTTCTGGTCAGAATGTAACACAAATGGCCTCCAGTCCAATTGCTAATAAAGTCATTCCCAGTTGAAACCTCCTGGGCCTGACCTTTACTTTCTGCATTCATGTCAGCATTCTGGTCTTCTCAGCTCTAACAAGAATCACCTATCAAACTGTATTTATAGCATCCAGAGCGTCTTTAGCCCACATCTCCAACCTTTCCAAACTCCTGTAAATCAGTTTCAAAGGCTTCTAAATCACATGGTCAAGTACAGTCACAACAACAACCCCACTCCTCTGGTACAACTTTTCTGTATTAGCTTTCTCATTGCTGGAGATGTATAATCTGGCTCATGGATTTAGAGCATTCAGTCCATGGTCACTTGGCTCTATCATGGCAGAAGGGT